TATTCCCGTGGTCTATTCTGCAGGAAACAAGTTTGCTAGCATTTTCACAAAGAAAAGAGAGACTGAATGTTGTGTGTCTCTGTTAAAGAAAAAATTAACCAAAGGTTGGGATTTTTTTGAAGCTGTAACTAAATGAGACACACAAATATTAGGGCAAATCAGGGGTTGGTTACCATTTTTTTTCACTACCGGTTCGGTTATAATGAGACACTACTACAGGTTCGCCCAATCTGGGCTGAACGGGGAGCAACCCACCTCTGGGACAAATATATATAAAATCTTGTGTCATGGAATTTTTAACCTTCAGACAGTGTTAAGAATGAAAAACTCATCTATGTAATTTGTAAAGTGTGATTGTTCTGCCCAAGAGAAATGTGTGCAAGTAGAGCCAAAATGAAAGTAAATACGAACATTTCAAATAAATAATTGTATAGGTTATGATAATTTTCCTAGCCCCAAATTATCTCACTTGAAAAAAAGGCAGTGTGGCAGATAGTTATACAATCAAGATCTCGCTCCTTTTCTCTGTTGCCATTGTGCCCTCGGGTATTGTTAAAAATTGGTTTGTGTGTATTTAGTGTGTATTTTAAATAACATCTGCAAATATTTTGTGATATTAAATGGCATATGGAGCTGGAGGGCAGGGAGCTGGAATAATAGCAAGGCACATTGTCACAGAAAGTGATCAAGAAAAAAAAAACTCTGGGTACTTATAAAGTGGTACCACATGGAAGCTGTAATCAGAAACATATTTATCCAGCAATCAGACCCAATAAAATGAGAAAACGTAGTTTTGAAAATTGACATACAATTTTTAAAATGAATAAAGCAAGCAAATAACTCTAAATCAATATGCCTAAGATTGCATTTTAGGAGCAGCAAGAATATATTTGAGCAAAATTTTGACACTCTTACAAAGCAAAATGTGTAAAATAGCATTTAGATACGCTATAAACAAGATAATAGATATTAAGAGAAATTGTTTTTCCTTGTAGCTTGGCTGAAGGATTAGTTTTTAATCATATTTTTATGTATCATTATCAAAATCTCACTGCCTGAAACTCTTAGGATTCACTGGGCAGTAACCGATTTAGCCTAGTGTCCATTTAATGATATATAAATAGCACTGCAGTTTGCTGGAATGTCAAAAATAATGAAGTGTGTGATCCAAATAACTTGGATCAGTAAAGCTGTGTTAACAGACATAGTTATACTGGTTCTGTAAGGTTGTATCTGTCTCAGGAATTGAAGTTATAACCAATCAAAGCCTTGAAAGAAAGATTAGTCATGAACTATGGTATCTTCTTATTAGCCCGTTTCTCATCCTCTTATCTAAAAGTGGTAATATCTTAAATCTGGGACAGCAAGCACCTAAGACATAAAATTGCCTTAACATTGTGGTAACAACCCCATAGTGCAAATTAGTATTTGCTGTTACAATTGCAGCTTAGAATAAACATTGCTAAAAAAAGGTATTGCCAGAGAAGATGGCTACACTTGATATGGGCAGCTGTAAAGGAAATGAAGCCGCCAGAAACCATGTTGGCTAGATACCACCAAAGCCAACGTGGGCAAGAGCACAAAGCAACTGAAAGAAGTTGTACAAGATCAGAAAATGTGGAGAACGGGCCCATAGAATCACCCAAGAATTGGGCATAATTGAATGGATAGCAGCATCAGCATTGCATTATAGCTCCATGATCCATCTGGCACCAAAGTTCTTGCTAGCTCACTTATAGGACTTCAGACTGTACAACATCCTGACTTCATTAGCAGTCTTGATTCACCATTAAGAGTGATGATGTTTGGCTGTGTTTCAAATCCGACTGACTTGTTTGCTACCGCAGCAACTCATCAAATAGAGCATTTTTCCCCTTTTCTTTTTTTTTCCTGAAAACCAAGACAGAGACAGCTCTGACCATTCTTGATATTTTATAGCAGAAAACCTGTGCCAAATTCTAGTTAAAACTGCTTGTGGGACTGGCTTTATTCCACCAAACCAAATGGCAAGGAGTCAATTTGTATAAATGTAGCATATGGCCAGCCGTCCTCTGCATTATTGAAATCTAGTTTCTCTTTTCTTGTCTGGCAGGCAGATAACAGTCCTGAAATATTTTTATTAGGGAAGATTCACCTATAGAAATTGTACATAATAAAATTGCTAAAAGTACAGGCCCTTGAGTGAAAAATATACATAACAAGCATGATGTGAAGTCTTCAAGGAGTTTCTGGGCAAATACATAAACCATCCAAGATATGTAATCATTACCTCCCTTCTTTCCTAATTCGAGGCAAACCAAAATTTTCTCTTTCATTGGTACCAGCAAATAATCATTTGTATTAGTCCTATAAGGCAAAAAGGAAGGAAGGAAGGAGAACCTTGGCTTATCAATATGTCTAAATCAGTCTCAAATCCCAGACCCAAATAGTAAGGCTACTATAATTGTACAAACCTGGTTTGCTTCTTCTTAATTCTGAGTTGGAACCAGCCATTTGTGTTTGCCTATTATTTCCAGTTTATAAAATGCTTCTTCGGCTGAGAGTCGCAAACATGATTTCAGACACAACCTGGGTTTGTATCTATTCTTTATTTTCAATTTGGCAAATGTAACATGATTTTCAAAATCCAAGCCTAAAACTGATGATCCAGTGGTTTAATAAATTAATGAGGAAAAGAGACTTTTTTCGTATGTTTAGTTCTGTGAATAAATAATTTAGGAATTCCTTGTGCCCTTTAGTTATTTTTTTCTCTTTAAGCTAGTTAAGACACACCAACTGTTTAGATGTCATTCTGGACGCATGAAACAGTTTAAATGGATTGTCTGCTGTTGTTGTTTTCTGAATAGCATTGACTGTGCTGGAATACTGAAACTTAGAAATTCAGACATTGAACTAAGAAAAGGAGAAACTGACATTGGGAGGAAAAATACACGGGTTCGGCTGGTCTTCCGTGTTCATATTCCTCAACCTAATGGGAGAACCCTTTCTTTGCAAGCGTCTTCCAACCCTATTGAATGTTGTAAGTATCCTTTCTTTCTCAGTGTGTTCATGTTTGGAGTTAAAATGGAAGTTGTTCTGTCACTCTGAATGCCAGAAAAAGAAGCACTTTGTATTCAGAATATTGAAATTCTCTTGGGAATAATTGATGGCAAAAATAAAAATACTGTACTGTTCTTCCAAAGAGATCTTGAAATTGGACTAAGGTACAAGTAACTCAGCAACTGTCTCCTCAAACCAAATGCTACTAAAAAGTTACAAATGTAGTTCGCCCAAAGTGGAATACTTAAAAATGTTAAACCCTGATATGTGTTAGTGTATATTCATATTTTATTTGTTTTGTTTTTTTTCAAATCTCCATCAGCCCAAAGATCGGCTCAGGAACTGCCTCTGGTTGAAAAGCAGAGCATTGATAACTACCATGTGATGGGTGGGAAGAAAATAATTTTGAGCGGACACAACTTTCTTCAAGACTCTAAAGTGATATTTGTGGAGAAGGCTCCAGGTATTTAAAACACGACCAATGTTTATGCTTAAGTTACCAGTGTAAATATACAGCTGCAGTGTTTAATCACACTCTCCTATATTGTTAGCTTGGTCAACTATGTTATTCGCTTTCATGAGTGACATTATCAGAGAGATCCTGAATGTGTGCACTTGGAATTAAATTTCATTGTGTTTCTATTGTGAAATGCATAAAAAAAATAATTTCTTAATACAATTATTCTGGAGGAACACACATATGTTTGTAGCTGAATACAAGGGTAAAAGGAAGATTTCAATAAGTCTACCTTACAAATTTGGCTCAGCTTCAATTCTCGATTTCCAGACATACTTTTGCTGGATAGAAATAGCTATAAACAGAGAGGGGAAAAAACTAATAGAAAAAAGTAGATAAATAGTATTTGTCTTTTCCATTTTGCCCAGCTTTCCAACTTTTAGTGAATCTCATTAAGAAACAGGTTCTGTTTGCAGAGTATGGGGAGAAGGAGATTGCTAAAAATGGCTTGGGGCAACCAACTATTTAAGTTTAGCAAGATAATGTTTAGGAATTAGTAACTCTTCATTTCTGAGTGTTAAGATTTTTGGTGCCAGATTTGTATTCATTTAATTTCTTGTAGAGATATTAGTCTTTGGGCCTACTTAAACAGCAAACTATATTGTTGACAGGTGATGGCAAAACTACTAAGTGTCTGATTTTGGGGGAGATTGTAATATTATATGAATACAGGTGAAATTCAGTTATCATCACAGTGACTTTCCTGCAATGACCTCTACATACTAATGATGCTTGATGAGGCTTAGCATCATCAGTATGATTTCACATATCTCTCTTGATACCCAGCAGGCTCCTGATTCACCTGACTATGAATTAATTTGATTTAAATATTATTTTTATTTAATAGAATGGAAATTTGGGATATAGAATAAACAATCTAGCTTCCAACCATCTTCATTTTCCAGGAACTTTTTGGGAGTCCCAAAGATCCTCCTGGAAAATGAGCATGGTCAGCTGTAGCCAAATGTTTTGTTTGGAAGGGTGTTTATCTGTCCCATTCCCAAAAAAGAGCAAAAGTGGCAAAAGTAAGTTGCCAGGTGCTTTTCAACTAGTTCTGACCCTGGCAAATGTTTGTGAATGGGCACTGCATCAGCGATCTTGTGACAGAACCCACAGCGTGGTCTCCACAGTCTAAATCTATCATCCCACCTCAAATTGGGAATCCTTGATCTGGGATTATGAGATCTAGCCATTAATATGATATCTGTGGGTAAATCATTGAATTGTAAATCTAATTTGCCTATCTTTTGTGCACAGGTAGTTATTGCAAATAAAATGCATTTAACGAATAAATTGAAGTCTCTATTGCCAAGGTAAAGTAATTGAAAAACCAAGTACTTCACTTAGCGAGGAATATAAGGAGAGCCAGCAGGAGATACAGAACATTATTCCAGAGAATTAAATTAAAGTCTCTGTGTCTTTTTGTAATAGAGGGAGGGAAGAACTTTGTCAACCATTATAGAAAGCAAAACAGATTTAACAAAAGCATCAGAATACAAAATCACTTATAATATCTATATTATATATATATATATAAAGATTGTGTTCATTATATTATGGTTTATGTATTCTGTATGTAATTATACATTCTTTTATATAATTTAATAAACATATATTTGGAGAATTCATAACAAACCACCTTCTTGTGTAGATTATCTACAAACAAACTCCTGATTAGAAAGAATTTCCATCCTGGGCTCTGTAAATATTTTTGTTCAAATTCTCTTTTTTTTAAGTAGAGAGCATGGATTTGTTTCTTGTGCTGCATATCATTTTGTTTTTTATTCTATTCTTATTTATTTTAATCTATGGAAAACTGTAAAACTATTTAAATAGCAGAGTCCATTAATGACAGCAAGTAAATCTCAAGAAATTATTTTTTTCTCAACAATAAAAAAGAAAATAAATATTATAATTTTAATCAGAATAAAGCTGGAAGGGATCTTGGAGGTCTTCTCGTCCAACTCCCTGCTCAAGCAGGAGACCCTATGCTATTTCAGACAAGCGATTGTCCAGTCTCTTTTTTAAAGCTCCCTATGATGAAGCACCTACAACTTCTGAAAGCAAGCTGTTCCACTGGTTAATCGTTCTCACTGTTAGGAAGTTGGACACTTTGTTATTAAATACTCCTTTAAGATGGCTAAGCTACACCAAAAACGTGTCTAGAAGTGGAGTACAAACACATATATTTCCAGAGACAAGTTACACCAATTTGTGCCTGACTTTTTCTAACCTGAATTTCCTCCTCTTCTGAATGACTCTATTTTCATTTGCAAGGATCTGAAAACACCTGATGCTTTTCAAGATCATCTCAGCCTGCTATTTTAGAATCAAACTGCTTGGTAAAATTGGGAGTTGAGTAAAGATAAGGCAGGCAACAAGGAGCTTAAAAAGGCAGCAGATAAATGGGGTACTGGGATGTATAAAAAGCCAGGGTCAATGAAGGCAAGAATGAAAGGGGAGGAGCATTTTTTTTAAAGCTTTCTTGTTTTGGAAAGAGTTTCTGTGGTGCTGGCACAAATGAGGCATTCTACAGCTGTTTGCTGAACCCCCTGAACTTTAAGCTGTCTCCTGAAATGCTCAAACTCTTCACTTCTCCCAGTCCTTCAAAGAAGGTTGTGATAATTAGGACCGTTTCACCCTCAGCATTCATTGAGTTCCAGTATTGATTGCAGTACTACACTGTAGCCCGACTGTCCTTAACTGTGCAGTATGTTAGAAGGACATGCCTTTTGCTGAGTAAGGCAGTCTTGACTACTCTCAGATGGAGCTACAGTATAATTTGGAGATGTAGGCTGACAGGCTGATGGAGGCAAACCAATGCCCTTCCCCCAGGCTTTCTTATATTATTTTTCACCCGTAACAGATAATGAATAAACACAACCCAAGAGGACAAAGTCAAAGAGAGAGTTATGTGAAAAAGAAGAGCAGAAAGCAGCAGACTAAAATGTGGCTAGACATTTCTAGATTCTTCTGGAAAATCTATTTAATTGGGGAGTGTAACAGGTTGATTGGAGGAAAAGCGTTGGAGCAGTGTTTTGATAGAACAAATTGTATTTCTTTCTTTGATTGATGGTTAAAGCTACCCACCAATTTGTCAACAATGCCAAGAACACAGTGGTCTGAAATAGCAATGTAGGGCAGTAATGTTTATCTTGTTTGGACTACAACAATCCCCATAATCTCCACCCAGCATAGCTATAGGGGATGGGGTTGTGGTGGCATAGCTGCATCAAAAGGTTTTTTATTAAGAATATTTGATCCCGATCATGATCACACTATTCCTACGGAATATTTCCATCAGATAGTAAATATAATGGCCTAGTGTATAATCTGACAGGTAATCATATCATATTATAGTTTAACCTGCAATAATTGGTTTCACCTTTTCAAGTAAACCAAAACCAAACAAACAAAATTGTGGTTTCTGTTGTATAATCTAAATAATGAACCAATTATAGTATGTATAACAATGTAATTCTACATTTCAATACTTCTATTAAAAGTAAGCCAAAATTCTTTAATCGGACAGGTTGCTATGCATTGGAAATAATACAGTTTAATACATCTTTTTTAAAATCTTTACATGTTTGACAAATAGGCCGGGCTTTTCTTTCTTTTGTGAGTTTAGTGATGGCATTGCTAAAGACTTCTTTTTAAAGTTATTATTTCGTTTGCCAAATTGGTATCGGTGTTTAAGTTGTAGTTATTGTTAATGAATATGATTTCTAAAAATGATACTAATTGGTTATGCAGACCACCATGATTATTTGTAATTGACTGGACATTATTTTGTGCTGAAGTCTTGAACTATGCCTGCCGTTCTGGGCTATCTTTCAGCTGCTGTGATCTCCTGAGAAATGGCATTATTCTTGCATAGAAAGAGAAAAGGGAAGGGTTGGCCTGCCTTAACAATGACTCATATGAAAGGGAATCCCTGAAGAACGATCAAGTCCATTCTTGAACTTGAAGTCAACAGAAGAAACGTGCTTTCAGTTTAACTCCTTGAACGCAGATTTTGGCAAACAAGTTTGCCACAGGAACGTTAACATTACCTATGATGTTCTGTGTCTCTTAGTTGAAATGACTAGGGATGACTAGGCAATAGTATTTGTTGCTTAATTTTTTTTAGCTAAAATGGATATCAGAATAAAGGAACACTGGGTGCAAAGAGGCTCATCTCAAACCAAATTAATTTCTAAGTGACAGTGGTGGAAGAAGATTGCTATCCTGCAAGAGACACAGCTTTTTTTCAGAAGCATGCTGTCATTTCCTGAGACATGCTATAGTGTTGTTGAAAGAATTATGGTGTAGATATTTATTGCTTGTCCATGGAGCTATTTTTCCAGTGATGAAATTCAATATTAAATACGCATTCAAGAACTTGATCTCCCACTTGTAAAGAGAGCAAAAGAGAAAGTGTCTGCTCTGTTCTAAAGGTTCAGCTTTCTTAAAATGTTATTTTATTTCCAGCAATGATTTCAGCAGTTAATTTGATTTCCATGGGTTTTTTATTTAGTGCTATTGTTCAGTTTACCTCACTGTTTTAGTTTAAAGTAGATTTGTATGACTTTCAGAAGAAATAATGAGTGATTTGTGAGGGAAAGCTTCTTGTAATTAATTTATTTTCTAATGTAAACACCCACAACTATAAACTACCAAAACTCTTGTGTCTGTGATCTTCAGTTGGCAAAATTGGAAGGTATAGGGCAACAATTATTGAATGAAGATAACTCAGATGGGCTAACGTACAAAACACTGGGACTCATGGCTCCCGTAGAAATGACATTTAGAGAAATTGTGCCACATGTCTTCCAACTACATTTTCCTAAAACCCATAGATTGCATGGCACAAGGGAGAAGACCATAGTTCTTCCCCCTGGCCACGCACCCAGTCAGTTGAAAGCAAGATCCAATAGGCAAGCAGCAATTGACTGCTTTGGAAC